GCTGGTCGTAACCCGAAAAGTTCGTTAGTAGAGGTGTTTGTATCCCGAGGTACCACTGTATACTGAAAAGTTGTCCTCTCCAGATATAAATGAATCATACATGAACGCAACTTTTTAGCAAAAGCACAACAGCATTCTATTAACAACATCACCACTGCAAGAGGGAAAAACCTCGTAACTATTTATCCTATCAGAACAGCCAAGTTTTAAGAGCTTTCCTAAAACCCAGCATGGCTGGGGTATTTTAAATCAAGGTGATATTTATTACCCTCTTCTTTCCAGGTTCAGAAGCCCGGGTATCATAATCATCTGGAAGCTGAAGATAATCTTCCATTCTGCTGGCAATGGCTTCCCAGTCACGTTTCCTCTTAGTACCAGTTCGCAACCCATCCAATTTGTCTGAGAACAAACACATAGCCTTATGGTTAAAGAAAAATTTGCATAGATGAACACAATACATGGGAATTTTCTTAAAGATATCACTGGCATCATATAGTGTGAAATCCACACATTAGTGGATATCTTTGTGCGTGGCATACATTCAAAGAAATGGAACACCCATTCTACCCTTTTTAAATTCAGTCTGTTATGTGCAATATATGAAGATGCATATGCATAAAGGAAAAATACTTCTTGCTTTGGATAACTAAAAGAATCCATGTATAATAGTGATATTTAAAACATTTCTGAAGACCAGTTTAGAAGTTCCATTCTATGTATTAAGCCAACACTGTGGAAAATGCATGAGATGCTCCACGAAACATTATGGAACATTATTTCAGAAAGACCACCAGACAAAGAACCTGAATGTAATGCAGAATATCAGCTAAGAAGGAATTAAATCCTGAAGCAGATTACAGTTTTCTGTCTTTGCTTCAGCAGCTGATGTAAAGTTGAAAGTTGTAGTAATTATTTGGTATGAACCAACACATTTTTCTAAAACAGTATCTTTCAAAATTTTTATTATTAAGAAGCCATTTCTACAGGCTACCTGCAAGCATATGTAAGTAAAACTGGTGCTACCCTTACACACAAATGTTTTTCTCAGTCTCACTATACTGTGAAGTAGACTGACCATTTAAAATTATTGTTATAGATATACCCATATTTAAATGCACAATAAAACATTTTAACTTTTGAATATTCTTCTAAAGGGCTATCATGGGCTATTAAAAATAGCAAATTCCATATTATGCTGTTTGCTGGATAGAGTTTTAAGTACCGTAAATGCTTATTTCTTAACAGAACAGGCAGAAGAGTGGCAGTTATGTGAACGTATTACAATGTTTCTGTATATCAGAATGGACTACATTATCTCTATTCTAATCATGTATATTGTTTTGTTATTTTTACTGGAAGAACGTCAGGCCTAAAACATTGGCAAGATTACAATAAATGGGCTACTAAACGTATTTATAATTATGTTTTAAGATTTTTTTAAAAGCCAGTTAAATATTCCACCTGTGTTTAATTTAGCAGTTAACAGAAGAATGTAATCTGGTTTTAGGACTTTAGTTTTTCTGTAACAGTAAAAATGTTTTGAAATCTATTGAACAAATTATCTTACCAAAACCAATTTCAGTTTAGAGGGCAGATTATGAGCAGCAAGAAGTAGTGTGTAAAAACCATGAAGAAGAAATATAGTCATATGCACATTTCAGGTTATATGTGATTTATAACTATATAGCAACTGCCACAAACTCGGATCACAATCCAAATAATCCTGTATACAAGCTAAAAATATTACTAATTGTGTGTTGTGTGTGATTGTGTTTGCTAAATCTTCTTGCCTTTAGGAACAGATTCAGGAAGGAAAGGCTGAATGGGAAGGAGGTTATAAAAGGCTTGCTGTACAGTTTCTTGAATACTGCTGCAACCATCAAATTGTTAACAGGCACATCTGATCAACATGGAAGAATTAATTCTTTTGTTCAACTCATACAGGAATGGTTTATGCAATATTCAACTAGAAAAAGGAGAAATAAGTTCTAAGGAACAAATCCTTCTTTGTTCTGAAAGACACCAAATTATATCTGTAGTTGAACTGTGTCTATTTCCATCAAGTTTGATTTAGTACTGAAATAATGGCAAAATTGATGCATGGAAGGAATTATTGTGTAAGTGATCAAAAGAATTGACAGCAGCACTAGATATTTTTAGTTTACATATTATTCCTTTACAAGCAAGTATGCAAAGAATTGGAAATGTACAGAAGAAGGCACTGCTCATATAACATGCTATATTATGTTACAGGCCATATTTGCAACCAATAACTTCTGGAATATGTTTATGAATCAGGAAGCTAATACTTAGTGACATTTTACTGATTTTGTTAGCGCTGAAAGTAACAGCATTTGAATCTTGGAAGAACTTTGGAACATGAACATTAACACTATATTGTCTGTGTGTGGTCAAGTTATGTAACTAAGAGGGTGGGGAGCATTTTTGTACCTTTCATCAGTTTTTAATAATACTGACCATAGTACATGTTCATATTCTCCATCTTCAATGGAAACTAGAGGTTTGTTTGTTATAGTATAGTATACTCACAAAACAAACAAACAAAAAACCTCAAAATCTTTCTGCTTCCTTTTCATTAAATTTAGAAAGACTACAGATGCTCTGAACAGGTGTTTAGGGTTGGTAATGAGCTGGATGAAAGTCAGTAAGCAGAAGTTAACAAAAATGCAGAAGCATAAGAACTCTATTAGATCAGACCAAAAGTAAAGACAGTAGCTCATTCTCACTATTACCTACTAGCAACTAGAGTCTTTTTTATTTATGGTTTATTTACTTATTTTATTTGATTTAGGTGCCACTCAACTCCAAACTGTACACAGCTGGTTAAAACTGCAGCACACTGGTTGCCAAAATATAAAAGGATGGTCTGGGTAGAATTAAATTCCCTTAACTAATCAAATACCCTGCATGTGGGTGCTATTGCAAATTGTCTTATATAATCTATATTCCCTTCATAGCGCATTCCTTTAAATCAACTTTGGGAGACTTGAATTCAGTATTCCACACCATGATAACACAGAGACTGGTTTATGTGGGGCTACATTTGGAGCCTATTCAGTAACTTCAATTAATTCAGAATGCAGCATCAAGACTGTTGCTTCATGTTTATTATAAAAATCATCTTCACACTATTTAAATAACTTCATTATACAGGTAAAACTCAAAAAATTAGAATATCGTGCAAATGTTCATTTATGTCAGGAAGACAACTCAAAAGGTGAAACCAATATATGAGATAGA